TTTTCTTACTCATTTGCATGAGATCCACTGATTTCATCCCTTCTGCTTGTGGAAAAAATAAATTCTTTGAGGAGGGGCTCCCTACTGGCTTTTATGGGACTGTTTGGGAAGACTAAAGCAGTTAAGTGGATTCTTTTCTCTTGACACTGTTCTGTTAAATCAACAATTGTACAGGGGATGTGATGTGTGGTTTTTATGTTTGGCTGCACAGCACAGGGACGAAAAGCTGCTCTCCCTGCGCTCAGGGGCCAGGTCACTGTTGTGCTGGCCAGCTGTGCTCCTGCAGCCTGCCCTGTTCTGCAGTCTGGGGCCGGGCTCCAGGGCAGAGCCTTGTCCCTAAAGCAGGGACATGCTGTGAGATGCACGGGGAATGCTCCGCAGGAAGGCTGCACCCCTGGAAAACTGCTCAGGGGCTCTGTGGGGCAGTGGAGGGGGAGTTAAAAGGACCCATTTCTTTCATCCTGTGTTTTCTGCAAGTTCACTACAGCAGGTGTAGCACAGTACTTGACCCACCCACCAGACTGTAATTTGGAGTCAGATCTGTGTTGGTGACATCAGACTCCACATCACAAAACCAGAGAAAGTGACAGCACAGAATCATTTGAGCCTTGAAATTTTATTATCTTGTTTGCATCAACCAGTTATTCCTTTCAGCACCAGTAAAAGACAAAAACCCCTCCATATTGTTTAAAATACCTTGTTTTTATCAGGTCTGTGATTGTGGTTTTCTTGCAGGTGAAGAAACCAATGAAAATATTTAAATTTTTCCTTTTTTTTTAATACATTTATAACAAAATGTCAGAAGGTGTGTGCTTACCATATAAAAACATTAGGTTCCAGAAGGATACAATACCGAAAAATCATTGAAATAAAAAAAGGTTATTCTTATTACAGGACATCTAAACCTCAGCAATAATACAAGTCTTTAAAAGCATCAAGATTATATTTAAAACAAAATGGCATGGAAAAGTGAGACCTTCAGTAACAATTTGACCCTTGTAATGGATAAAACTGGGAGGTTTTCAAAGTGCTTGAACTGTATTTCTGTCCTCATCCTGTAGTGCCAGGAGGAGGCAAAACTGTTTCATTTCTGAGCTGATGATATGTGCTGACACTGCTGTGCTGCTGTGTGATCCAGGGTAGCTCACACACCAAACTGGGGACATCTGACCACCAAACAAAAGCCATTAAAAAAAACCCTTATTGGAATTGTATGTTCCTTAAATCTTACTGTCTTACCCAACAAGTATGCCTGAGGGTCTAGCCAGACTCACTGAGAGTGTTTCTGGGATAAAACTCATGATACTGGCACAGGGCAGGTAAGCTCCTTCTGCAGCCAGTAGGACACACCACCTCGGGCTGCAGGCTTTTCCTGAAGCCAGGCTCTGGTAGTTTCTGTTTGGGGGCTTTAGGCAGCTTCTACCAAGTGTCCAGGCTGGGATGGAGTAAATCTGGGCACCACTGGAATGAGTCAAATGCCTTTTCCCCCAGCATGAGGCTGGGTGTACCTCCCTGGGCCCAGTGGTTCCATCTCTAGGGTGCTTTTTTGAAGTGATCTAAAGTTACCAACTTTGTCAGGACCTGACACCTTCAAAACTCCTAGAAATGCTTGGTTTTCTACTGTCCTCTTTGAGCCTTTGGTTCACTTGTTCTGGATGTTGTAAAATGCAAACTGAACATGAGAAATAGAAGATGTTATCTAGCTTTTACAAAAAGATGACACTTCATCTGCAATATCCCTGGTGAGGGACAGGTAATAAACTAAGCACAGTCTTATCAGTCACTTCTTGAAGATGCCTGAAATCCCAGTACAAAGTGGGGATAAGCATAGTAGAGTAAGCTTAACTTGATTTCTTATAATAGTCTACTTATAAATTGGGTCATGCTATCCATAAGCAAAGTAGGATTGACATCTGAAAAAACTTTCCAGGGTTTGTTCTCCTGGGTGTGGTTTCTTTACCCCCCTTTTTTTAATGCAAATATTTTACTCTATAGTGTCTGCCTAAGGCCTGTGATGATTGATGTCATGCCAAGACAGGCATTGTCTGAGTGGACTCTCTGTGGGGTGTTGGATGGAACTGTGGTGGCAGGAGTGGTGCAGGCAAAACTCCTTTTCTCCTGGAGGTCGCTGTCATGGAAGGGGAACTGTTCATTCCAGCTCACTGCTACAGACACTCTCTGACCCCTGCAAGCATTGCCAAGGCAGCAGAAGGCACAGGATCAATGCAAAAACCAAGGAGCATCTGCACAGTGGTGCCACAATGCTGAACCTCCCAGCATCACTCCCTTGCAAAGCCACATCCCCAAGACAGTAAATTAGAACTACTTACACTGGTTAAATGTGTGTGCATTGTGTAAGAGAACATTTTACAACTAGCCAGTTCTTGAGCACTGAGGAAAATCTAAAACAGTTTACTTCAAATTTGAAAAAAACATTTCTCAGCATATCTCAAAAAGTTGATGAAAGTGGCTGATTTTTCAGTCAGCACAAAGCCACAGAACAAATTTTAAAGTAATTTAGACCATGTTGGTTTTGCTGTAAATAATGTAATATTGTTTGGCAGTAGTTTTATGTTTGTATCCCACACAGTGTCAAATTCAGCTCCTGCAACTGATACTTGGTGAAACTGATATCAAATTTTAATTTACATTATTAGGAAAACTATTAAAAATACTGTACCTTGTAGTTAGTCTTACTACTGAGAAATATCTGCTGGACAGCACACAAATTGCTACTGGTACTGTTTGGGTTTTTTAAAAAAGATTAATAAAATACAAGCAAGGTAGAAAACAGGATTAAAAAGCATTGGTTTGGGTACAAGTTCTTCTGAACTGACTGGAGCAATAAGAAACCCGAAAAACACATTGCACATATGTGCACCCTCTGTATAAAGACAGACATACAAAGTGGGAAACTGGTGGTGCACTGGGGTAGTACACTAAAGTCTCTGATTCTGTAAACTTGAATTCCTAATTTTATAAAAAGGGGAACTGAGTCTGGTTCCATTTTTGAGTCCCCACAGGTTACACTTCAGACTACCCCACGGTTTGGCACAGTGCACTTTTAAGAGGCAGTCTCTGCTGAAGGAACCCCAGGACTGGAAAACGAGGCATAAAATGTGTCAAGACCAGGTGCAGAGGGAGAGTGTGAGCAGTGGCCTTGCTGCCTCCTTGGAATTAGCCAATACTGTTAGTCCTGTACTCTCATGACTACTACGAGTTTTGCTATTTGCAAAATCAGATCTAAGTACAAGTTCTGTTGTTTACTGTAGCTAACTAAGCAAGTACCAGAAGCTGTGCAGACTGAGATTTCTAATTTAGATCTATTCTGATTTAGCTCAAGCTGATTCACAGCAAGTGTAAACTAAACCAAAACAAGAGCGTCCTCAGGAGTCTGTGGGCAGCATAACTAAAACAGGTTACTTAATGGAGTACATCTAATATTGGGTTAACTCTTCTTAACACAGGGGATTTGTAATACAAGAGGAAATAAAACTAAACTAGAACAGGAAATAGGCAGAAGAAACTAAGTGAGGGTTAAAACAGAAGGGGTCTCATTGTTCTCCCAACAACACAAACCCTCTGAAATTAAATCCCTAAAAAATGCCAAGTCTAATTATGGACCTGATTCTCAGGTTTTCATTATTTTTGTTAAGGTTACAGAGGCTGGGTAGGTCAGGTCATGGGAACAAGATGGCAGAGGGGAGCCCCACATTTGAAGAGCTTAATGGAAAGAACTTTGATTCAGGTGGCAAGACCCCCATTCAAGTCTGTGGGTGCATAACAAATGGAGAATCATGTCTCACAGACATCAAAACAGCCTCTGTTCCTGGGAAGCAGTTACCTAAGGCCAAGAGTCACGGTTCTATTCTCTACTCTCCTTCTGGCCCCGTTCCACTTCCCCTTTAAGCGTACTGATTCCTTTAGAAAATGGTCAGGTTATTCTGCCTTATCAGTCATTCACTGTTCTACACCTTTTTCCCCCCAAATGTCACTTATGTTTATTTTTACTCTATATCTAGCATGCATTTTACAATTCATTTCCCACTTACCCTTTCTAGCTAAGGCAGAATGTTGGCTCTGGTGTTACCAATGCTACTACAGGAATCTATTCACTCTACTGTAACATACATATCCCATACCATAATTCAGAACTGTCCCACACATGGGAAAGAAAAGACATTACAGGGAAACTATTTCTTCTTAAGGGAATAGGTTGCATTTAGAAAGCTGAAGGCCTGATTCTGGAGTCATCATTCAGACAAAAGAGTTCATAATTTCAGTGGGAACACAGCTGAAATAAGGGTGGGACTGTGTTCTTGAAGTCTCAATTCCAAATCTTAATTATCCTTAAATCAGACAGGAAGATACTGGTCTGCAAATTGAAGAGTTGTTTGGTTTAAGGTCTACCTGTACTGACAGAAGGGTTTCCAGTCCCAGGAGGCTTTGGCTGGGCCTGGTTGTGCCCTCCCTTCCCTGCTGCCAGGTTTCTCTGCCCGGTTCCTCTCCGGTGCATGCAGTGCGGGCGCATGCGGCTGCTGCGAGCACGAACTACAACTGTCACAGGCTAAAGAAAGAGAAAAAGCTGCGGCTTCGTAGTTAGACAAAGAAATGATGCAAAAATCCATTGAGCAGCACTAACTCACAGACTAAGTACAAACTAAATTGTGCTATATATTAGTATAAAAACATGTTTTAGTAAGAATGGCACTGGTTCAGAAGGAATTAGGACTTCCATCTTGGTTCCGTTCGGTCCACAGTGAAAGCATTGTAGTACAGGCCTGCCCTGTTGCCTGAGCCACTTGTGACAGTGGCTTTTGGCCACAGCCCCTTCCATTTATTCCCTTTTTAGGTCCACATTGTTAGTACTTTCTGGGAGTAGCCCAGGTCAGGTCTGGTCATCTTTCCTAACGTGGCACCAGAATAGTTCGTTCTTATCCTCTGATATTTTTGAAATATCATTCATGTTTCCCTCTTTTAACCTGTCAGAGCTGGTCAGTTTAAGGGTCATCCTCTCCCGTAGACACCATGAGACGCATTGCTACTGGAAGGTGGTCAGTCAGCCCTGCCAGCTGGGTGATAAAGCTGAACTCTTCCACTTCCTGCAGAAGGAGAACAAAAGTAAGATAAGGAGCTGAAAAATCAGTCTGTCATTCCCCACATCAGAACTCAGCCTCTTTGAACTACCTTAGTGTATTATAGAGGTGTGGGAGCAGCCTGGTTTGGCTGGGCTGATGGGGAGCTGCCACTCAGGGCATGGCAGCGTGCTGCAGAGGGTGAGGTGAGCCACTCGTGCAGCTCAGCTGTCTGGATGAAATCTGCTGCACCTTTTCTTTCCATTTACAGTAACATCTCTGTTGTTCCAGACAGACTCATCTACAGTGCTGCAGTGGGTGGTCCATGTGCAGGGTATGGTAAATATAGATGTGAATGAGCTCCTTGTTTTCATCATGGAACTTTGTAAGGCAAGGCCCTACACTAGGAAGCAGACTGCACCCTACAAGTTTTCTCTCTGGGTACTCCCTCATATTAGCTTCTGCCTACATTCTGCAGAGTTGTAACTTAGGTAGGTTTATATAGGCATAAAATAACATCCAGACACTTGAAAACATTAAAAAATATTCAGATTTCAGGCACAGGAAAAGCATCAGGCAAAACAGGTAGGCAGAAGCTTAAAAGGAGTGAAATCAAGGTTGGTTGGTTGTTTTAGAAGAGCAGTACATCTACCAGTGCTGCTGCTGGAATCCTCAAACTCAACTTTGTTATGCACTAGCTTTACAAACATGGTACCTGCATGCAGAAGTGGAAAATAGCAAAGCAGCAGGTCCTCCCAGGAGTATGGGTGGGTGTTAATCCAAGCAGAACAGGCTGCAGTGCCATTCAGAGAAGTGTGTTGTGCAAGTTACAGCCTTTTTGGCAGCTCTGAAACTCACCACTTTCCATTCCAGGTAGAGACCTTCTTCTGTGTAGAGCATATAGTCAATCCTCCTCCCGTTTCCCTTCAGTGATGCCTTCCTCCCCTTCTGACTGGAACCATGGTTCTTGCTGGTGGGATAGACTAAGTATCCTTTCCTCCCTTCTTCACTTTCCAGCGCCCTGTTTCATTAAAAAAACAAACAAAGCACGTTTTAATTTTAAATGTTTGCTCATCCTGGCCATTTACACATTACCCAGGGTTCTCTCCAGATCCCTGGTAAGGATAATCCCAGTCCCAAAGGACTGTTAAGCCTGTAAAGCACATCTTTTTCCAAATGTGATTTCCAGTATGAGGCTGCTCTAACTGCTGACAGTGCTCTTAAAGCCTCATGGCAGGCTTGGTATCACTGGTGCTGTCCTGGAGCTCCCTTGGAGCCAGGACAACAAACACTGAGAGGGGAGCCTGCTATCAGTGCTGTAAGGCAGCTCAGAGCCCCTCTGTTGATTTCCAGTGTTGCTGAAACTGGCAGAGGATGAAGTTGTTTCCTGGATTGCTTTAGTACAAACCTGAGCACTTTGATACAAACCTCTCCATTCTGATGAGACCAACTCCTGAAATTACAACACCCATCCTTACAGACAGGGTATGGGTGAGGGCTGGTTTGCAGGAACACACATCTGGACACATGGTGGGTGGTTTTGAGCAGGTTTCAGCATCAGATTACTGTGTCTTGGATCCCAAGCTCTTCCTTCACTAGAAATGACAGCCTAATTTACTTGATTCCTGTCTGTGATACTGCAAACTCCTCCACATGGAGGAGTTACTCAGCAGGTGTGTTAGCACTGCCCCCACCCTGCAAGGAGATTACCCAGCCCAAGGCCACATACAGAGGCACTCAAAACTGAAAATTGGTTTTCTAGGTACCAATCTTGTGTTCAAGGAAATAAGATGCTGCTCTCCCATTAAAATACCTATTTTGGGTGCTTAAACATTACCTGTAGGTTTTAAGCAGAAGACTATTAAGGCCCTGAGCAACTCAATCTAACTCTGGACTGAGCCCAGCTTTGAACATGACCTTGGACCACGTACCCCACAAGGGTCCCTATCACTGTTTTTACAGTAATCCTGTGCTGTTCTGTGCTGTTTTGCTGTTGTGTTGGATTTTGAGGGAAACTTGTTTTACCCTCCTGTGTTCTATTTAAAAGCTCTGCCAAAGGAGCAGCGAGGGGAGCAGCCCCAGCCGTGCGAGCAAAGCCGGACTGGACGTGCTCGTGCCGGGGTTTGTGCCCAGGTGACATCAAGTCCAGCACAGGTGAGTGGCACAGCCCACACAGACAGGGGCTGCTCAGGCTGTGGTTTTGCTGAATCTGCCTTAAAACACAAACTTTCAAAACTACCTCCTCAAAAATCTCCTTGCTTTACTCACCTGCCCTAACCTGAGCTCAGGGTTCTGTGGTTTCCCTTGCAAGAGTTGATTTTGCCACTAAGCTGCATCATCAACTGCTGCAGGAGAAACAGAGCCATGAACTTGGGTCCCAGCAGGCACAAAGCCCAATTTCACCTTGGAGAAAATGATTTTTTTGATCACCTGGTTTTTAAGACTTAACTTGGATGGGTTTTTTGGGGCTGGGTTCAGGAGTTTTTTAATACACACATGTGGGAGTACAGAAAGGAGGAAAAACAAGGGACAAGCACTCACGGTATGTTTTAATGTGTGAGATTCAGAGGGTTGCTTTGTCAGATTTTGGAATTTTGGAATTACCTGAATGGTGGCAGAGGGGACCCAGCACTGGCTACAGCTGATTAGGTCTCAGTAGTATAATAATCTCGAAGTTTGGGTCAGTTGGTACGTTTCAGGTGCACTTTATGTGCTGCAGCAGGTATCAGTGACAAAACTGATCATGTAGTCATTTGATCAGAACTTTTCTTAACTCCCCTTTGGACTTAGGGAGGTATTGAAGGTTCTTAGAGCTTATGGTAATCAGTTTATGAAAGTAAGCTTTATGTGTTGTTTTGTTTTAATCATAACTTACATTAAATTAGTTTATTTTCTGCACCACATTTTGATTCTCCAAAGAGCCCTTGCAAATGATTCACTTCCTTAGATTGTTTTTCTAGGTTCAAGGAAGCAAGCTCTTTGATGGTACTGACCTCTTTCAAAAATTGTATTTATATTTGGCAAAGCTAATTAAGTAACAAAATAGAAGAAACTGCTGATTAGCTCTGCAGCACTACTGCAAAAAAAAAAAAAACCAAAACTTATTTGCCTTAGTTTAAGACATGAATTTGTTTCAGCTTCAGTTATGTCTTTTAAAAAGTCTGTGAGCGCTGGGTATTCACTTAACTGCACAAGTACTGATTGAAGGGAAATATTAATTTCAAATACATGAGGGAAGCAAATGGTAAATGTGTATGCATGTGCTGCTGCTGAGAACTTGCCCCTCTCTGAGCACAGGGGTTTGCTGTTTGTCTCTCCAGGAAGCTGACACAAGTACAGGACAGCTGGCTCAGTCATGCTGGCAGGCAAACCCTGACAATTGGAGGGAATATTTCTAATCATGACTGAGCACAACTAAACCAATTTTATCAGAATAACTGTCTTGATTCATAGGATACAAAGAAAGGGAGGATGAAATAATTGGCACTTTGTTTTTCCCTGACAGGGTTTCAGTGTCAAATACCCCAGATCTGGAGCTGAAAGCCCCATCTCTGTGTTGGTTGTGTGGTGCTGACCCAGCTGCAGTGAAGGAGCACCAAGAGCAGTGACTGCAAGGGAGCCGTAAAGCAAAACTCCCTGATCCCAAACCTCGAGGGAGCAGCTCTCATTCTGGCCAGGAGCACCTGAGCTAAGGAAGACTTTTCTCACTGGTACTGAAGCCTTTAGCCCAGCACTGTGAGCCTCTGTCCAGCAGAGGAGACTGGAAAAACTTGCATTTAAATTTTTTCTTAGCTGTGCTGTAATGTGCTCTCCTAGGCCTGCCTCTGGTCAGGGTTCAGAGATAAAACTGGCTTTATTCCAGTGTTTAACTTAAAGATAACAATCATCTCTGTGAGATGGGATTATTTGTGTGCATTTCTTGAAGCCTTTCTGAGCAGAAGCTTGTGTGGCTTCCAGGACTGTGGCAGGGCCCAAGTTGTTACATCACACTAATTAATTATTTGATAATTATAAATTACTTGCTCATTACTTGCACCAAGTCTGTTCTAGTCTGATGCTTTACATACACTGTGCTTAACACAAAAGACATAGTTAAGAACGAGTGGTTCTGCTGCTTTTATGGCCTATTTATATTAGTAATGTGAAATACTTAATTTTAGTTATAAACCAGAGAAGAGTGCTGATGAAGAAATAATTCTCTGGATAGCTGACTTTGCCAATTTAAATGTCTGTATAGCTTTATCAAGGTTTATTATGGAAAAATCTGAGAATGGATCAATTGTAGGCAGTACCCTGCTTTGCTGTGTATGTGAACAATATTTGTTAGCTAGATAGTACCCCACAGCCACTGTGCTATTTAACATTTAAATGTCTTTAAAGCCCACATTCCATTAATTGCTTTAAATTTCCTGGAATTTCGTTGCAATTTCCCTGTTTGCCAGTTCTTTGCAGAGACAGCAGGACAGGCTCCCTCAGCCTCTCATGGAAACCATGGCTCTCCAATACATGAGCACCTGCACAGAATGCACACATGCAGAGCCTGTCTCCCTGCAGAGCTGCAGAAAGAGCCAGGGGGATTTACAGTCTCATGGAGGGTTATTTCATCAGTGCAAAAGAACTATAACACATTGCAAAAAACTGAAAGCCAACTTAGCAGGCAAGAAGCCTTATGTACATTCTGCTCCCAGCACCCAGGGCTATTTTTCACTTGTCACAGCCAGAGGTGCTGTGCATGCCCAGAGGTAGCAGAAGTAATATTCTTAATTTGTTATTGATTATTTGATGGCTCCCTATTTAATCAGTCATGTATTTGTCAGAGGAACATGACTGCTGAACACAAGTAACTCTTCAGGGAATAAAACATAATACCCCAAAAGGAATTTTGTGACACATTGTCTGAAGAGGCCACTTTAAAACAAATGGTTTTGGTTTGGTTTGGTTTGGTTTTCTTAGGGGATGAAAGGTTTAGGTTTTGTTTTGGTGTTTTGTTTTTGTTTAAATGCTCCAAACCTGCTCTTGGAGTCATAAAATATAATGTTACACCCACATACAGATTTGCATTAGCAGACTTGATTGTAGAGCGAAATTACCTTATTTTTGCTTTCCAGCAACCCCTTTCACATGTACTAAAGTTATGTTTTTAATGTGTGAATAGAAATGTCTGGAAATTTTGTGATCTCTCAAATGTGCAAAGCAGGATTTGCTGTAAAAAATTTTATTTTGGATGTAAACTAAAGCCAAACCTGATGCCTAGAATTCAATTTTCTTTGTTCAAAACTGAAAGAAAACTTCAGGGTGTGGCCTCACTTAATGCATTCAATGAAGTGTCCATCTATGCCATGAAGTGTACTGTGCTTGGTGAGAATTACATCAACTTCCTATTATGGACTATTTCCATTATGTGTGTCAACAGAAACATCTGGACTGACTTCTTAATTTAAATAACTTTACCTCTGTAGTATATTTTGGTAATGCATAGTTAGAACATCTTTTATAGTTAGTCATGATGCTGAGGTATTTATTTAGCACAGCAAACTTGCCTTCATGGTAGAGAAGGTGACAAAAGGATTGTCACATTCATTAAGTGCTGCTCTAAAATGTACAAAACTTATTAATTTCTCTCCACTGGCATATTATTTAACAAACAGGTATTCAAGAAATTTATCTTAAGACTTCTGTTAATTAAGATTTTTTTGTATTTCTTGTAACTCCCCTAGCTCAAACCACAGACAGCTGTTTCTCAATGTCAAACACTCTTTAGAGGTGATGCTGCACTGGTATCACTGGAAGATCCTGAGCCATATTTTTAGTTCTGTGTGCTGTGCAGTTTAATTCCTCTCTGTATTTGTGAGCTGGTGTTTTAGGTGTACTGAACTCTGCAGTGAATGGGTAACTCAGTAGTTGTTGGGCTGGGGGTGGTGTTTTAAACTTTGTGGGGTTTTTGTCTGAGGAAAACTACATTTCCTTTTTGCTGCCTTTGCAGTGCTGTGACCTCAGAGCTGGCTGCCTGCAGACACTTTCAGACAAGCTGTCCATGCACTCTTTTTGGGAGTGCTTGGAGTTTCTTGTGCTATGGGCCTGCCCAGGTAGGACCAGCTCTGGGGACAAACAGACACTGCCTGCAGCTCTCATCTTTTCACCCCATTTGACTTAGAGAACCAGCCCCTTTTCCTGCCCCCTTTATCCTCTTCCCCAAACACCCCTGGGTAAAAATTTGATTATTTGTTTTGTTTTCAGTCCATAAAATACCTCTCAGTCTGAACATCTGAAATGTTAAACAGCAAGAAATGAACTTGCTTTTTACAGAACTGTCTAAAGCATGTGGAAAGGTTAGGAATTGCATACTTCTGTAGGTTATCTGGGGTGCACACTTCTTCATCATATAATCCTTCAGGATCCAACAGGGTACCTGTGAACAGAAAGGGAGATGTGAGTGTCCCAGCTCCTGGGATGTGCCTCTTGGGAAGCTTGCAGAGGCACAGGTGTGTGGCAGAGAGGGGACTGCTCTGAGAGCAGTGTGTTCACTTCTCTCCAGACCTCCCTACCACCTGACACCTTGCAAATGTCTCCACACTTCCATTTCCTCAGCCCCCATGATTCTAATGACTTTCTCCTACCACAGAGTAAAGCCTCATTATTAAAAAGTTCTACTTAACTTTAGTATCTTCACAGTTATTAAAGCCTCTCTGGAGAAAGTATTAATTCCTGTTCTAAAACTTCAGTGAGTTCAACTGAGTCTCACCAGGTATTAATATCTCAGAGTTCCAGGAAATCTTTTGTAACACAAATCTTACAAATTCATGGAGTTGATTTGCTTTGTTACATCCTCACTGACAGTATTTATTGAGCACCAGATGGAACACTGAGCAGAAGCTGCAGGCTTTCACTGCATGCACAAAGTACAGAAACAATGAATTGGCTACCTTCCCCTTCAAGTAATGTAGAGATTATTTTAAAGGTAGAATATTTGGGGAAGGCATTCAGGTAGCTTGATGCACAACTTCTAGAATGTGGAATGCAGTTCAAGATCTCTGTTTGGTGCTTAATTATCATTCCACAACATATTCTTAAGGTCTATAAAATTTATGGTATAGAAATACCCCTTATAAATATTTGTCCTCCACCAAACTCTTACTGCTGGTCAGCTGAAGCAGCTGCTGCTTAGGGCAGGCTGTGGGTGGCAGAAGGGAGGTGCTCCCACACTGAGAGCTGGAGAAGTCTTACCGATTGCCCAAGGCTTGTCCTCCCCAGGACCAACTCGACACGGGTCTTTGTAGTGTGTAAACAGAGAGTGCTGTTGCTCCAGCTTGTCCTCTGCAGGGAAAAAACAACCCAGGAAAAGGCACATCAGGTCCTGGTTGTGAACCTGTGCACAGCTCTGTGTTCTGCCACAACACCAAACCCTCATTTTCCCTCAGCAGGAGAATCCTAAATACAAAAGTTTGATTTGAGTCACTTCAGCCACAGCTTTACTGCACAGCAGGGTCTTGCCTCTGTCAGAAATTCCAGCAAATGCTTGCTATTAACAGTGCTTTCCTATGCTTTCTTACAAAGTCTTTTCAGTGGAAGATATTTTTGGTAGTTTTCAGCTCTGAGCTGAAGTAAAAAGTTTTTCAGTGTATCTCCCCCCTCTGCCGCTGCCATTGTTTGCTTACACAGTACAAAACACTTGTTGAGATAAAACACCCAGAGGAGAGCTGGGCTGGCTTCCCAATGGCAAAGGCAATGCCTGTTTGTGGGCATATTCACTCATCTCAGGAAGTTTGAAGATAAAACCTTATGCTTTCTTTGCTCCAGAAGAATTCACTGACTGAATGTTTTCCAAGCTATAACAGATCAGAGAAAGGAGAGGCAATTGATAATTTGCTTGGGATGTTATCTACAGCATTAAAGCCATTCTAAACATAATCAGCATGACTATCAAACTTTAAATTAAATTCTTCCTACTTGCTACTGTGCTCCTTGCATTGAAAGCACATCAAGCTCCAAGGATCATTTGGTAAGAAATCCCACACAGTTAAATCTCAGTTACCTGAGACTTACAGAAAACTGCACACACCAGCATTTCAGACCCTGAGCAAACCAGCAGGTTCCAGTTCTGTGAGTGCTGCTTATCAGCACAATCGCCACAGCTGGGAAAGAAACTGGAACCTGAAAGTGCCAACAGCTACAATTCCACTGTTAAATGGCAAAGAAACCACAAACAGCTCCTGAAAACTTCCTCACAGCACTTACAGCTTTTACAAGGCTAAAACATCTTAGCAACACTTGAAGGCTCTCTCTTGGGAGAATATTCACCTGAGTTTGGAGCTGCTGCTGTTGTGTATTTGTCACTGTCTATGCCAAGAGCACGTGTGAAAATGGGAAATAAAGTCCAAAACAAAACTCTGAACTGTGAGCTGTGTCTCTTAAGAGTCCAGCTCACACACCAAGGATCACATCAAATCTCCTCATGTAAAATGCTGGTATTGCCAAGGAAGAAGCTGCTGATCTCTGGCTGAACACAAAGGTGGAGTGAAGCAGTGCTGTGCTCACAGCTGTCGGCTCATTTGCCATTTTGTTATTCAGAGTCTTTAGTGCAGCTGACTGACAGTTCATCTGCCTCATTACATCTTCCCAGCTAGCTCTCAGTCTTGAGAACATCCTCAGAACTGCAAGGAGAGTGAAAAACTCATTTTTCAGGGAATCCTGGACTTGTAGCAGATGATTGGAAGACTGACCCTCCCGAAGTTCTGCCACGTGGCCAACACAGAGAATGGCTCTTTCTGTCTGAGCAGCCAACTGGTTTGTTTAAAGTTTATGGAAAAGTAGAAGATTAAATCTTTGCCATTTTTCATTTCTCCAGGTTTTCCCTTGTTGTATCATATGTCTACAGAATCTCTCTCAAAACCAAGATAGATTAAAAAATTATTAATTTACAACTGTGGGACTGACCATGACAAGTCACAGCTAATGACACGAAACTTTGCCCATCTGATTGGAAGTCTTTTTTTCTTATTCTAAAAGGTTTAAAAACATAATAGACTTTTACACAAGTCAGTCCAAAGCAACATAACAGTAAAGAACTTTCTGATAACATTCCCACTAAGTGTGAATTCCCTGTACAAATGTTGCCATAATGTTCTGTAAAGCTGGAGGAGAAAACTGAGTTGCAGGAAATTTGTCATAAGCATAAGGTCACTCATGGACCTAAAGATCTTTGAAAACTGTACTGTCAATATAACTAAGAATAGAAGCTTGGTATTCACTGAAACATTAATTAGCTGTTGTATCAGTCTGTGGAGTGGGGAAGGATACAGAAAATCACAAAGAGAATTACAGGAAGCTAATTATTGCTTTAAAAAAACTTAAGATACTCAATTAACCTATAATGCTAGCAAATGTCCCTAAAACAATGAGTAATGTAAAAAGGGAGGAGAGAACTTTAAAACATTACATTAATCTTGCTTAGTACATATGGAAAGAAAGCAATCTGAAAATGAAATTTTAAAAAATAGGCAGCTTAATTCCAGTTTCCAGGCTGGGTGCATTTTAAAGGGGAGGGCGATGTAAATATGCATCAGAGATAGCAAAGATAAAATTAATTTTTATAACCCATTTTTCAGTCCTCTTTAGCAGTAGTTTACAGCTATTATTTGCAAAAGCAAATGGTTATTTTTGCTTTGTCATTAAAAAGACAGCTCAGAATTGCATTAATTATGCTCTGTGCTTCTTGTGAAAGATCTTGGGTAGAGTGCCAACATTTCTCAGGTGGAGAGCGCTAACCATATGTTCTACCTCACAGCTTCACTCCCATCTCTCTCCTGGTGCTGCAGAGCCCATTCACTCTCCATTTGTGATCTGACTGGCCAGTCTCCCATTTCGTTTGCAGCAGCTTGTTTATTTCCTTGATGGACACCTTTGCCTGCAGGCGACTCCATCCAGCCAACAATATGCAAGTGGGATGGTCAGATGGCAGCAGATGTGTCTGTTTGTGTCCCCAGCTCTGCCTTGCCCGGTGCTGCTGCAGCTCCTCAGCCTGTGGGGCAGCTTGGGCAGATGGAGAGCTGCTATTGACCAATTCCTTCCTCAAAACTCACTACCTCTGCTGCATTATTCTGCACCCTGAGATGTGTTTGTCTGACTGCAGCATTCTGTGGCTGCTGCCACTCACTCTCCAGGGAGAGCACGGGCCAGCACTGGGCCCATTCCGAGTTTGCTTTGGAGCCTGAGTTGTGATGGATTTTCTGTTTGTACATATGAGCTAGAAATGAGTGAGAGAAGGGCTGGGGTTTGGGCTGGTGGTGTCTTCTACCAAACTTTGCTAAAATCCTCCATTTCGTGTGTCTTGACACAAGTAATGAGATTAGAGATAACAGTTTGGGGTTTTTTAGCTCAGACAGTGCTTTTTGTTAAAATTGCTTCTGGTACAGGTGTTGCTCTCTATCTCAGTTACCTGAGACTTACAGAAACTACAGAATCCACTGTGTGTTGTTGCCCAATTCACCTGTTCATCCACAAACCCTGCTCTGAACTGCTGAATCCCACTTTGGGTGGGATTTGGCTGCAGCCTGAGCTGCCCTGGGCAGTGTCCCTGTGATGAGCCCCTCCCTGTGCCTGCCCCCTGCTCTCTGTGTGGCAGCAATTCAGTGGTGGCCCCTCAGCCCAGCCTCTGATCCATGTGCCAGCTCCAGCCCAGCAGGGAGCTCTGCTGAGTGCCTGGGCTGGACAGAGCAGGGAGGCACAGAGGATACACAGACACAACACTCTCTGTCCCACGTTAGCAGTTTAACTGTTACACAGCATAATATTCATGTTTGGAAAAAGCTTCCATCTCTGTGAGCTCACCACCCACTAATTAGGGTTTTGTGGATTTCTTTTTCTAGTACCCTCAGCATCCAATTAAAAGAAAACAACAAATCTCTTGAAATAAAAAACTCAAAAGTACATAGCATCAGTTAATTTTTTTTTCCAAGACTGATTCAGCAAAGTCGAATTCTCTCTGCGGTATTAGACTCCTATGTCTGTATATATGTACTACCAAATTAATTTTAACTGCATGAATTTACTAATTTTTCGCCACAAAAATCCCATACATGTCTCTCATCAGTAACTAAAACTGTTGAACAGTAAATGTCTACCTAATTCAAATAAAGCTAAACCACTGGATCTGTCCTCATTATTGCTACCACAAGTGACAAATTATTGCTCCTTAAAACCCATCATGCTTAATAATTCCACAGACCTCATGGCATGAGCCAAGGGGAGTAGCTCACACTCAAAGCTCATACCTATTTTAGAAGTGTCTGCAGCAATTAAGTTTTCCTAGCAAAAGCCAGTCATAATTTATTATATAGTCATATACTGCTATAACCCACAGGGATCAAGGACATTTCTATTCCTTTTCAGGACTGGTAGACACTGGGAAAAGGCAAATCTCATCTTACCAGAGGAGCAATTATCAAAGTTGAGATCTCCACAGAGTACATCAAAAGCCACCAGCTCCTCTGGATTGGCTGTACTGGAGGAGGAGGTAGATTTTCTGAATTCAGACAGCCAATCTTGAAGCATATCCAGTTGCTCACATCGAACAGTTGTGTCTCCTGTAGCAAACAAACAACCAAAACAAGGAGTAAGACCTCCTGTTAGAATGTTACTCAGCCCCATATGAGTTGCTGAGCTATTGGCAGACATCCTGAGAAAAAGGCTGCAAGATAAGAAATGGTGTGGCCAGAAGGGCACTCATAGTGCTGAGCCTGTTAGGAGCTCCATTAGGACTCACACTTCTTGGTGATTTGAAGTGTGTCCTTCTGGAGCCAGGCATGTCTGAAGAAATGAGAGAAGTTCCCTGTGCTGCAGACAAGCACCCAAAACAATGATGTTTCTTGTCGTAGGAGAATCCTATGCACTATGTTTATAATCAGTAATTCAGAGCTAAAATCCTACTTCAGATAGAACTAGACAGTATGATCTGGGGTAAATCATTTGATCTTGCTTTGCTTCCTAATTTTTAAGAAGGAAAAGTTTAGCTTTCAAGTGTAAATAGTAAATACACATCAATGGTACATTCAGCTTACTTGTACTGTAATAGTCCATCTGAGGGAAGGTCAGCCTGTTTATGGTCAAGAGGAGAATGCCTAAACTGGAAGTATTTTTTCACATTTTTAAAGGTACATGTTGGAAACAGGTTTAGGTAGGTGGAAATCTAGAAATAAAGAACAGGATCCTTTCCACCAGTTCTGGGAAGTTACACCAGGATGTGCCCTGTTCTGCATGGAAGGGCTGAGATTGATTGGTTGCCAAATGGAACCATCTGACACGCAAAACAGCTCTTTAATTATAGCAACTAACCACACTTAACTTCAAGCACATCAGATGACATGAAGTCTGACAAGAAATGATTACTGTATCTCTCTTCCAATGAATACAGCAAATCATTTTGATGTGGACAAAGGAGCAGAAAGATACATTCTAGAAACAATTCTTTACCATAGTGTCTTTCCTTTTGTTTTGTTTTTACTGTCCCTAGAGTTAACAGCTAAAATTTTGCTTGTTTCAGACTTTTAAAGATATATCAAGTCAGAACAACATCACTTTTCTTCAAAATAAAATATTTGTTTTCAAATGCCAGAATCAGAAGGAAGAGCAGCAAGCCCAAAATTACTTAGTCTGAGCAGAATTTTACTTTGACATAATTTACTACTTTGTAAAACCTGTTTATTTATGTATGTCCAGAGCTTCTTTCAGAGGCCACTGTGGAGATGGTGAATATTTAATTCTGCACCCTCACAGTTTATTAATCACTCATCTCAACTGCAGCTGTCACCAGGACTCTTTAGAGACTCTTAAAAAGTGAGCTCTGCAGCATTAGCGGTGTCATTGCGTTAGCACACACAGGCTCCAGCCACAAGGACTTCACCTTCCTACTGCTACTGCCCTGTGAAAGGTTGGAATTTCAACATCATCTCCGGGCAGGGGTGAGCAGGAAGGTGTTAAACCACAGATAAATGCAAACAGAATCAGAAATGTTCTACCAAGGATTATTTGATATGATGCTAAACAATTAAAAGATATATTGAAAAAAACCATGACTTGGTAAAGGTTTAAATTAGGTTCTGACACTGACTCATCTCTTCAGGCTGGTAATTCCAACAGCAAAGAAATGGATTTTTTCCTTCTGTTTGTGTTACTCCTAACAAACCTTTACCAGCTGGGGTATAATATAAAAGCAGATGTGTTTTCCAGATCTATTCCCTAACCTACAGTTTCTAATTACTTGTACCTCGGGTTCCCATTGTACCCTACTCACACAGCTTGGGAAAGCCCCTGCAATGACAGCACAAGAAAGCCCCACAGTGAAGATGGAGCTGAACAAAAGCACAGGAAATAGGTCACATGGAATAAATGGAGCCTGGAGCAGGTGACCCTCACTACAAAAGGTGTGCGTGACTAAGAGATCCTTCCTGCTTAGCTACAGATAGGGGAGAAATTACAGATTCATGGAATGTGAGAGGATAGAATCTCTGCAGATCCTCCAGTCCAACCCTTCTGCCCAAGCAGGGATCACCTGCAGCATGTTGTTCAGGACATGTCCAGTCAGGTCTTGAAAATCTCTATAGTTGGAGACTCCATATCCTCTGGGTAGCCTATTCTGGAGCTTTATCATCCTTGCAATAAAAAAACATTTTTCTGTTTTAAATGGCATTTCAGTTTGTGCCCAGTGCCTCTTGTCCCATTACTGGAGCCCAGTGAGGAGAGGCTGCCTCCATGTTCCTTGCACCCCCCTATCAGGTATTTACACTTGGACAAGAGCTTTCTCCTCCTGAACTGTCCCAGCTTTCTCTTTCCTGGTGAATCTCATTCAAATTCATGGACTGTCCTCCTTTTGCAGCATCTGAATCTTCCTCTCCTGTCTCCTCTCCTCAGGCTGTACTTTTTCTGACCTGCCATTGTTTCCTCATAAGGAGCTTTTAAGCATGGTGCTTGTTGGAAAGAATGCAGTAAAATCTCATTTCCCACAAGGTCCCAATTACATAAATTGCTTTATTTTCTAAGAAGTGCTTTTACATTCCTGAATGGCCAAGGATGTTTCACTCATTTTCTGTGAATTATCCATCTGGCATGGCTTCACCAAATTAAAAATAAAATAACAGGCCCATTATCACATGGGCATAAAACTCAGGCAGCAACCTGTCCCAGATCAGCACAAAAAAATACAGAATACCCACTTAACTGAAACACAAAAAGGTAAAATTCTCCAGCAGAAAAATCTTGGGAATAACAAGAGACACACAGGCAACAGATGTTGTATCTGATAAGATTCATTGTTGTTACTAGGAAAGCGTTAGCTGCATTGTGACATACACCTCTGTCTGAGGATGCTGAGCCTTTGTAACAGCTCTGCACAGCTTTTAACCTCAGGGCTCGACAGGTAAACCTTGGAGCTCTGGGAACATGACTTCCATCTGTCTTTAGCCAAGTGTGCACTTTTGGCAGCCCAGCATCCCTGGCTATCCCACTAGAGGTCATAGAAGTAGTTGCTCTTCAGGGCACTACTGGGAGCAGGGGCATAGAGTCAGCTCCATTTCCAGGACACAAGATGGGATCTCTCTAATGAATTCCTCTAATGAATGACTTGAATGTAATTGTTTTTTGAGATCAGTATTGTCCAGCTCACTGCAGCTCTCAGCAGGTGCTGCATGTATCCACATGCAAAAGTTACTACTCAGACCCAGTCTCAGCAGCTCCCAATGATCAATAACTTGATCAAGAGATGAAGAGATAAGTGAGGAGATTAAGATAAGTGAACTCATCAGACACCAAGTAGAAGAGAAGCCAAAGTTGCATCCAGTACACTCGGGGAAAAAGACATTTCAGTAAATACTAGCAGAAGAGAACTAGGTGGTAACTCCCAGCAAAGGTTCAGCTTCTTAAACATTCAGATAGAATCAGTGATCTGACTGCCACCAGGGATTAGCCAAAGAACAGAGATTTGTGCTAATTGTTCTGCACTCTTTTCTTCAGTAACTGGCCTGGAAAAATGCACATAATTGTGTTGTGATGGGCTCCTGCAGTCAGCATTTCTGAATTCTCTGAAAGCTCCTTTCAGCTTCAAATTTTGTAGAAGGATGAAAGGGTAATATGGGAAATTTCAGCCAGCATAAATAAATACTTCACCCTTGTTCATTGTAGAATAATCATACTTGCCCTTTCCATTCACTTTGAAAACACTTGAATGAAACCTTGGCTTCAGTTAGAACTCAGGAAAAATTATACACTGACTGTTCTATGCTATTCTGAAAGACATTGGAAGGAGCACTGTGATTGTAGGACAAAGCACATACAGGCCTAGTCACAGGAAATTAAAAAATCTAGTGGAGGCAGAGCAGTATGGGATATATTGGCAGGGAACCTGGGGAAGAAGAGCAAAAAGAACTTGCAGAGTGTAGGGTGTAAAGCCTAATCACAAGGAAAAATTGTTTCCAAGTCACAAACCCAAGGCTTCAGCTCAGCTGTGAGACAGGCTGTGTCGCACCTGAGTGTGTGCAGACCCCTGCACTTGTAACACTTAATCCAGGGTAGACTGAGGAAATAAAATACACCAAAGAAAAAACCCAAAGGAACAAAGCCCCCTTTTATTCTCCTGGGTTCCTTCTCAGCTGGGTCAGGTCCCCAGCCAAGTACAGCACAGCCTACAACAGGGCAGGACAGGCTGCCCTGCTGGGGACACACAGGCTCTGCTACTTCAGGGACACCTGTGGAATCACTGCCTAAGGATGTCAGCACTGGAGCTACTCCTGATTGCACCACCACCGCAGCCTCAAACACTGAGAGGCTTGGGAGCCTGAAACTGGGGCTGGAGAAGTGTGGGTTCCCAGCAGCTGGCTTCCAATGGCTACATTCACACTCAGTGCAGAACAGGGATGGGAGCAGGTTGTGAGATAGCATCCAGCAGGCTTCAGATGGGGCTGGAATAGCTTGAGGCTAACTCTACTGATGGCTTGCTGGGGTGTCTGAGAGCCGTGACTCAATGGGACTCGGGATGTGGGTGGATTCAAGGCAGCAAAACCTGTCCAGAACATTAATCACTGGCTAATCAACAGACATAAAAGAACCATGTAAAATTAACAGCCTTGCAAAATAATTACATCAAATCTCATTAAAGGATCCCTTCATTTGTCACTGAAATGCAGCTATTTCCATAATGGAAATAAAGAGCTTCTTCATAGCAGCAACCAGTACCAGGCAGAGACCTGAGAGGAAAAGCTACATCTAATTCTAACATTTCTTGAAAAAGTTGAGGGTCAGGTCTGAACAAACAGTAATTGCTCAGAACAGAGTTGAGCCAGCACATACCTTGAGAAAAGCATTAGCTTCTTGTCCCTGATCATAAGCAGTTGGATCATTTCACTTTATACTTATGTAAGTATCGGAACTGTCAAGTGTAAGTTTACGTATCCTAGAAGGGAAACCAGGTTGCACTCAGCCATGTGTGACAAGATAATTTAAATGGCTGACCTTTTAAACACTGCTTGTTTTTATAGATACACATCTTTACATCGTTAAACTGGGGGTTTGGATAATTTGTTTAATGCATGAATGTTATGAATCAAGTGATGCAAATCAGAAAGCACAGCTCTGCCAAACTTACGAAGTTTAGTTTTCCATTTCATTACATAAACAAATACAATATATCTAGGGACAGACTCTTAAATCATTGTCTGCTCTAGCTGAATGTAGTTTGAACCAGATAAGCCTAAAAATACAAAGCAGGAAAATAAAAGATTGTGTTTTACCCTTGAACAAACTTTAGGTTGACTTTGTAAATAGAACGTTACTTCCCCTTTCTTCTTCCCTCCCCCCTCTTCCTCTTTAAAATTTTAGGGATTTCACAATGTGGTTATGAAGGACTAACTGAGAATACAGGACTAGGTAGTAAAAATGCACAGGACTGAAAACTAGAAACAAAACCCACAAAACTAAACTAAACTGGAACAGCAATAAATCTCAGCAATCTCACAGTACATTACCGTAAGTTAAAAATAGAAAAGCAGAGAAGGATGTTACATTGTTAAAAAGAAGCTGAAAAATTCATTAATCTTTTTTAGAACCATCCAGTGTCTCTAATGGACTTGAGGGACTGGCAGTTTTGTTCCCAGGCCCGTGTGTGGCTGAGGCAGGGCTGGAGCAGCAGAGCAGCCCCCACGCTCACACGGGGCTCGCAGCCACGTGCAGCCCTGGCTCGCCGGGTCCCAGCACATGGGCTGGCAGCAGCCACTCTGGCAGGGCTGTCCTGCTCCCAGCAGCACAGGAGTCACAGCCATGTGTAATGAAGGAAGGGTGTCCAGCCCTCTGGCTAAATAAAATGCTGATCATACTCAAAGTAAAGGTCTGTAGATTTGGTTTTTATAACTATACCTACTCTGTACAGAACTGCTTTAAAACATACGAGCAAGAGAATTTTCCAGTGAGTATATTAACTTGCTAGTCATTTAGGGATGAAATTTGCTGGTCAAAAGCCAGAGAATTTTGGCTTTTTCCACCAGAAATCAGCAGCTAGAATTACTGTCCCAACATGTAACTTCTGATTATCCCCCAGTTATATAAAAAGAAATTTTTGTTTATATGCTGACACTCACATTATGGGTTGTTAAATGGTGTTGAGTAACAATGATAGTAATGCATTTCTGAAATACCAGTATTTGTTAAGAGGGAGCAAAAAGAAGTTCCCAAGGGATAGTTTTTGTTTGTGCCCCATAGTAATTACTCTGAGACTGAAGATGTGAAGGGTTGGAGATACTTGTCTACCCTTCTTTGCACTATTGCTCTTGTGCACAAAATTACCACCCCAGGCCTGGAAATAGTGACAAACAAAGATATGAATCTTAGGACAGTACCTGCAATAGCTTGCAAGTGAGTGCAGGAAATGTATCCCACAATTCTTTGGTCCTGAGGTGTACTTCCCACTTGCACCTGGAAGGGAAGAAATAAAAAGGTGATTAATGGAAGGGCTCATACAACTCTACTTCCAAGCCAATCTGAGCAGCCTTTTTTACCATTCTTTCCAGCCAACTCCATTTTGAAACGAGAAAAAACTTCTAGAGACACACACTGAGGCTTCCTGATCTTACTAAGGCTTGTGGCCAGCACACTGACCCTTTGCACATCACCATGTTCGGTGTTTGGATTTTGATCTGCAACACATAAAAAAATGTTACTTTCTCCTGTTTTTGCAGTCCCACTGGTTCCCTGTCCCAGCTCTCATTCCTATGTACAATTCAGGCTCACCACTCAAGTGCCTTATAAACCAGAATTACCAGCAGCCTGCTTCTTGCTGCCTGTGTATGACAAGAATATGAAAGGAGAAATGCCAGGAAAAAGGATTAAATATTAAATAAATATTGGGTTTGATCATGTTTTCTCTATTCCACAGTAAGTTTTGGATTTTGATGGATTTTTTACATTCTTCTGCAAAGGTGTTGGGGGCCTTGGTGTGCCTCAGCAGTGTTTGCCTCCTTCAGCTCATAGCAGCAGCCCCCATGCCTGTCAAGCAGACAGAAAACACTGTGTGGAATCCTGTTCTTCCACACAGAAGAGGAAGAGCTTCCAGGGAAGCTGGAATATAATATAATTCCTAATCTATATCTTAAACTACAATTCTTTAAAAATGTTCTTGCAGGTAGACGCAAAAGCAAATTAAAATCAAGTTCTGTTTTAGGTTTTCAACTCTATTGAGAATTTTGGCAGTTCAGGACTTAGCTGCAAATCAAAATTCCCAGTGATAAATGGATAATTTTTGGATTGTAGCAAGAAACTGGTTTGAGTCTATGGTTTTCTTGTTGACAGTTTAAGTGGCAACACTGCATGAATTAAAGAAAATGCCCACAGAGGAAAGTTGTACCCAGAGCTCAGAAAACACCACCACAGATGACTCTGCTTCACAAGACTAGGCTCAAATTTTATCTGACACCTCTAAATAACAAGCAGAGCTCCATTTCATATGGGCACAATTTTGTCAGCTTGGTTGGTTTTCTTGATTTTCAGCTATTCAAGAACCAGCTGATATATTTTATAACTGAAAAGGCAGCTTTGCAGTAAGTGAATTTAGAAGTCATTTGTACTTAACAATGCCTTGTTAACTTTGAGGGTTTGTGCCAGCCAGGGGAGTAGGTAATAAACAACTGGCATTATTCTGTCCTCAGTCTGTTCAGTCCTTTTTTAGACAGTTTTACAAATGGATATTGATGGTGTTCTTATTGCTGTTCCCATTCAGCTAACCTGCTCCAGGGAGGCAGAGGGAGCCAAGGCAAACACAGGCAGTCACTGGTGCATCCAGCCCCAGAGGAGGAGATTCTCCCAAGACTGCAGCAGTCTCAGAGGATGGGCAGCTGTGCTGGATGGCTGTCAGGGACTGCTGCAGGAGCTGCACTGCACACACCTCTCCCTCCTGCCTGGACATCTCAGGGTCACTGCTGAACCATAAGGAGCTTTCTCTCCAACTTTTTTATGCAACATATGCCATTCCAGCAGGAAAGTGGAAAACAGTTTATTTCCTCTGCTGTCTGGGACAGGCATGGGAATGAACCATCTCTTCCAAACTTAGTAATTCAAAATCAGGGTTTCTCTTCAACACTATTAAAAACTCCCTAAACTATAAACTCCACTTCTCTGCAATTGTGCAGTGTTCCTGCAGCAGAGGACAAGTATGGATGCCACACACCTTTCAGTGTCACCAGTCTGGAAGGAGAACACTGCACATAAATTGTTCTGCCTTAGAGTGGGAATGTGCTCCTTATAATCCCCTTATTGACTAAAGCAGATGGAATCGTTCCAGCATTTCTATTCAAAAAGCAGAAAATATTTAATTGTAAAAGCTGAACATCCAAACATAAATTATAGCCCAATTGAGAAAAAGAGTGAGCTCAAACTGACTTTAGACTTTCCTGTGCAGCCTTAATGGAGTGCCTGACAAGGCCCTGTACTCCTCAACCAACTTGTGCATAGGATCATGCTAATTTCCATTAATCATGAATAAATGTGTATTGTTCAGTGTGCCTGTGTGCTCATCTGTGCTGAGATGGACTTGGGATCTTTTGCTCACAAAGAATTGTAAGAAATGGCCCAGGATGAAGCCTGCCTGTGCTCTATGGTGGGGCTGAGCACAGCAAATGCCCACGGGCATGGTACCCCAGAGCTCTGCTGGAACACACAGTCCCACGGGGAGAGGAAGGGGCTTTCATAAACACTCTGCTGATTAAAAAATAAAGCTTAAAAGCAAGAGCTGAAGACATTAACATAATTAGAATTTCCTTGGAAAAAGCCAGCATGGAAGTGCATCCAAAGCAGCTCGTCTCCCAGATTTCACATTTCCTCCAGCTTTTTTGACTTTTAGGGGCTTGTAGTTTCTTTTGAGAGGCAGTACTGATGGCAACCACTAAACTGAGTAAAATCATAATGGAAGCAAATATTTGTGACTACTTGGAGAGTAAATAAATACCTTTGCATCCTCCTAGTCAGTTCCCAGCTACAGTAGAGGCATTACTGTATTAAATACAATCTGAAATAAAATAGTAAGAAAAGTCTGTTTATTCAATCTAGTTTGGTATTTTACAGATGGACAAGGCTTGTGGGTTGTGCAGACAGGAAACCTACTTGACCTCTGAAATACTACAAGCCCTGTAATTCTACATGAAAGCATTCTTTTGTGTGGCCAAGTAGCTATTTCAGATGTTGCATTTTCCAGGCTGTCCTGGATGCTGCCGGGGCAGCGACGTGGCAGGAGGACAGGGCTCCAGCTGAGCCTCCAACGTGGACCTTGGCACGAGGGCTCTGCTTCCACCACACCAAGTCAGCACTTCACAAATATAATTTTAGCTGCTTAACACAGAAGAAGCATCTCCAGTCACATTTACAAAGGAAATATATGTAAACAAATGAGCCAGAGTGGCTCTGTCACCATAAGCCTGACTTTAGCTCACCTCAGCTGCTCTACATCAGTAGCTGTGTGTCAATAACACATTTATTGAATCATCCTTCTGCAGGGACCTACTTCAGGCACTGTTTCTAAAAATCACCATACAGTGTTTGTTGTGCCATGAGCCATTCCTCTTTGTGTTTGGAAATGTACAGGAAGAAAATATCTAAATATAAGGTCCCAATGTTTTAAAATATTTATTTTAAAATGATCACAGGAGGAAAAAGTTATGTGACAACCTGTTAAAATCTAGAGGTAAAATTAAAACTGACAGAACATACTTGTGGTTTACTAAAGTGTCCAGTTATATAATTTTCACATTAAAAAAATTAGCCTTTTTCACAGTTATGCTGAAATATGCAAAATTTATTCCAATTCTCACTAGATTTGCAATAATCAAATTAGTCAAACATTGAGAAGCTAAGAGTGGATTCAGATCCCTGTTACACCACTGACCATTACATTTTGTTTGCTCTTGGGAGGGGGGCATAAAAAGCTCATTATATATGGGAAAGAGACTTTTTCCCTTAAGGGGGAAATCCTATTAAGGGTGTGTTTGGAATCCAAAATGCCAAAATTTTCTGCTGCTGCATATTTATATTTGTCCCCTTCCTGTGAATGAAATAACAAAATGCAAAACTGACCACTCTGAATTTTTGTTTTCCAAGTACTGGCTGTGTAAAGCACACAAAAGTACTTGACATCAAGTACATTTTATTAAAAGATTTCATCTCAGTGCCACAGCACATTAGTACAATCTGTTGGAGACACCACGCTGGGACTATGCTGTGCAAGACTGGGGATATTCCTAGAATTGTTTTGCAAAAGCTTGTCCTACATGACGGAGGAGTGGTCTGTCCTCCACTGAGACTGGTATCAGTAATAAATGGACCATGAAAGAAATCAAGGCAACAAGGTTATGGCAGAAAAATTCTTGTTGAGAGGAAAAAAACCTAATGAGTAGCAAGAACTGAAATTTTAGAGCTACAGCAGGGAAAAATAACTTGAAATTTAATCACACTGCTTGCTATCATGGGAATTTCCTGGGCTAACTGGAAAATCTTGCACATCTCATGTTTCCCATATGCTGGCACAGTAAGTATACAAAGCTGCAAAGTTGACAAATACCTTGTCTCTTAAGAGTTTATATTTACACACATCTGTTTCAGCAGTGCAAAACAATTCTATCACATCTGGATGTCAAGAAAAGCATCAACAGATACTTGAACAAAACCCATGAGAATGCTACTTCAGTACTGGGCCATTTCTTTACCACCTTGAAAAACAGCTTCAGACAGGTCATTGCTGTGTTAGTAAATCATCAGATGCTCTGAAGTAAATGCTCCTTAATGATTAAAAACTTGAATTGTGTATGAGAAATCTCACCTGATTAAAGAATCAGTCTAGAATCTCAAATAATGACCAATAACATGTACACAAAACCAAAACATTTGTTATGAGGAGAACTTAATCTTTAGTGACATTTTCTAGCAGCTTCACTTTGCCAGGAGGGAGCCATTCAAAAATAAAATAGTTTCTTAAACGTGTACCCTCCAAAACAAAGGAGTCATTTACATACAAGTCCAAGCACATGTGATTGCCTCTCCCTTCAGGGGAAGCAAATCCTGGTATGCAAACCAGATGACAGCTAAAGTTTTGGCATCCTCATGGAAAAAGTTCTTCACAAGGTCTGCTACCCCAGAATCTCCATGTGGCCAATAAAGCCAGAGCTGGGAAAGGTAAATAACCTGCCTGTAACACTGAGACTTCTTCAGGTAAATTGGGATCTCCACAGCCTAGCTCCAGCTTCAGCCAGTACAGTTTAATCACATCTTGGGCTGTAAATGAGCAAAACCTTCCATTTCATCCACTTAGGTGACCATGGAAGTGTCAGTTTTGCCACTGAAATAAATGTAACCATGGTACTGCTCCCTGCAGGGCTCCTCTGAAGAGGATAAGTCACCAAAGTACAGAGCTCTACAGGAAATTAATTCACAGT